TTGGTCTGGGTCTGAGAGTAGCACAAACCTAGGGCACTAGTTGTCAGATGTGGTACTAGAAAAATGACTGTGTATTTGGGCAAATTAACAGTGGTGCCAGAGTGGATGAGCCTATGGAAGGACCATCTGACTCATGAAAGCTGGGCAGCACTGCCCCTCAGCCCACTCGTCTCACACTTGATGTGATGGGACACTTAGAGTCTGAACTCCCAAGTTCCAGTCCAGCAGCCTGGATGAGGCCTGAAGGTCTGCTGTCCACCTCAGACACCTTCCTGGCCACCCACAACCTTCTTATTAGAGGAGCAGCTATTTCGGGTTGGCATCTGACTGCACTCATGGATACTGCATTAATACATGCCATGTTCTTCTTTCCTGGTGTTCTTGGTCACTGAATGTGGTACACTCTAGGACACCTTATCTCCAAGTCTCATTTTGTGATTTGCACTTTGCAAGGGGCCCATGTGTGTATCTATCTGTTGGGCTTCTCGCTCCCTCAGCACACGCAGAGGCCCACTGTAAGCATCTTGTTTCAAATAGAGGAGTCACATTTGCACTTCCAATTTTAAGAATTTATTGTATTTGGTTAGAAATAATTTTTTTAAATACCTAGTATTTTTATCTTGGTGTGGGAGTAGAAAGAAGGAATAGGCAGTAGACAGTAGAATGATCACAGGTGGGCAATTACACATGCAAATGAGTTCAATGTGGTAATCGTCCCTTGAATTCTTATTTACAAGGTTAACGTTTCATGCTAACCCCACACAACCACTGCATTTAGGTGTGTGGGGTTTTTTTAGATTCTTATATGTCAATTCTGAAATATTAAATCCAGTTTAGAACATTTTGATATAAACATTTTTCTCAGCTTAGTTTTTGCAGTTTGTTTCATTTACCATCATGACTGATCTTACAGGGAATAAATGGGATCAAAATTGCTCTCTTCATTTAAAAACTATTATTGTCTCCATCCAGTGTACAAAGTTCCACACTTTGGGGGAAAAGCCCCCACACTGAGGTGGGGAGGATAACCCAGTCTTGAAGAAATCATTCCCACAAAAATAGAATACAAAACCAAAGTAATAAGGCAAGAAGAATATCCTGAAATGATACCGGAGTGATGAAGCAGAAGGGGCTCATTCTGGCAAAGGAATGGACAAGGACTTCGGAGAAAGTGGCATCCAAATAGGGCCTTTAAGGAGGACTAAGAACTACACAGAAAAGGGGCAGAGATGAGGCACAGGGTGTGTCTGATTGGCAAAAGATCAGAGGGCCAGCAGGATAGGGAAGGTGAGCCTCAAAGCCACCTGGGGCCAGATCAAGGGAGCTCCGTATGGAACTCCATATTGAGAAGTGTATTTTGTGTGCAATGGGGAAATGCAGAACCCTGGATTTGAGGGTCGGGGATTACAGTAATTAAATGATGATTTCAGCAGGAGATAATGAAGCCTAAAAGGAAAATGGACAGGGCAGAGGGGAACGAGGAAATTCGGGAGAGAATCAAGCATCCCTGACAATCGACTGGAGGTGGAGGCAAGGAATGGCGGGCGAAGTGGATGTCACTCTAGGGTTTCAGGTCGAGGGCAGGATAGTCATGGGAGAGAGGGCTGTAAGAGGAAATGACGGGCTCTGTCCTAGCAAACAGGTTCCATGTGCAGAGTGTTGGTGGGCGGGGGTGTCTGCAGATCATCAGATTCAGATCCAGGGTCCAGAGACAGAACAGGATCATTGAAATGGGAAGTATTCAAGGGAAACTGGAGAGGCAGTAGCAAGGGCAGAGGCAGAATGCAGGGGAAATCAGGGGGAAGGGGAGCAGCCAGCAGAGCCCCAGCAACAATTGGTTTTGCACTTTCTCTGCTTGTTTACAAGCTACTCCCCAGTTCCGTACTCAGGGAGAACCCTAAAGATGTATATAATGCCATTTACGTAAAATTCCAAGTCATATGCTTTTGGGAACTTTGCTCTTCCTCCAGAAGAGGTGAAGAACGTGACTCGAGTGGTAAGAAATAGCGCTTCATTTTAGATGTACAGTATTAGGTCTTGGTCTTTGAGGTGTTTAAAGGTAAGTCTTTCTCTCTGTAAGTATGGAAGGAGCCTGAAAATATAAAGGTCAGTGTGAGAAAACAGCCCCAGGGGTCCAGGGGAAGCAGATTTTTTTTAAGCAGTTGCTGCTTTCTCCGGTGTTAACACCTCTGCCATGGCCAGTTACAGACTACCGATGGCTTAACCACCAGTTCACACTACTCCTGAACACTTAACAATGGGCTCTCCAGAGCTGGCTCCCGAGTATCACTGGAGCTTTACACGTCCCATCGTACTTGATGATTAAACTCCACTGCCAAATAAACCACTAAAAAGTGTGGATGTCATACCAGGTGCTATTCTTTAGATCTGAAATGTCACCCAGAGGCCCAAAGGCTTGGTCCCCAGAATGGCCCTACTGGGAGGTGATAGTAACTTAAAAGGTGGGGCCGGTGGGAGTTCAGGCCATTGGGGGTCTACCCTTGAAAGGGACTGTGGGACTCTGGTCTTGACCTTGTCTTCTGGCCGTGAGCTGAGAGGCTTTGCTCTGCCACATGATCCTACCTCGAAGTGCTGCTCACCACAGGCCCTTAAGTAACAAGCCACAATAACTGTAAGCCAAATTAAACCTTTTCACTTTCTAAGTTGATTATCTCAGGTATTTGTGGTAGTAATAGGAAACTGACACCCCACATAAACACATTTGGACAAGTTTTTATTTTTTTAATATATATTTTTTTAGAGAGAGACAGAAAGTTTTTCAATATTTATTTTTTAGTTTTTGGCGGACACATCATCTTTGTTTGTATATGGTGCTGAGGATCGAACCCAGGCCACACGCATGCCAGGCGAGCACGCTACCGCTTGAGCCACATCCCCAGCCCCTTGGACAATTTTTTAAATATGATGTTTCATTATAGGTAGACAAAACTCAGGGTATAAGGGATTATAGGTTGAGTATTCGTTATCCAAAGTGTTTAGGACTTAGAAGTGTTTTAGATTTTAAGTTTTTTTTTTTTTTTTAATTTTGGAGCAATTCAAATCTTGGATTTTCATATTAGGGCTGTTCAACTCTCAATGATGTACAAATATTTCAGGAAATATTTTAAGTAAAAGTAATTATGTCCAGTATGATCCCAAATTCCCATATTACAATGGCCACACTCAAAAGTGTGAATCATAATTATCTTTGTCAGACTTGTGGTTTTACTTTTTTCTTTCCACTATTTTCCTATTTTTTTAATTTTCTCAATGTTCACATATTTGTAACTGGAAAGGAAACTAGATAATTGAGTGCATTTTTTTTTTCTTTTATATCCACCAATCTTATGGGTAGGCCAGTGTATTAGGGTTCTCTCTACAGGAACAAAATCAGCAGGAAGTATAATTATAAAAAGGGGATTTATTAGGTTGTCCTAAGATACACATTCTGGATAACCCACAATGGCCATCTGCCGGCTAGAGAGCTGGAAGAATCAGTAGCCTCGAAGTCCAAGAGGCTAAAGTCCCAGAACAAGAGGGATCAACAGTGCTACCCTAGTACGAGATGGAAGGCTTCTGAAGAATCACTGGCAGAGTACGCTTTGGAAGAGTGAAAAAGCAAGAGCCGATATGCTCAGATGATCACAGCAGCAATCAAGAAGTTGTTCAAAAAGAATGGAGCTTGCATCTGCTTCCTTGTTCTTTTATTCCATCCAAGCCATCATCCTATAGGATGGTGCTGTCCTTGCTTAGGGAGGTCTCCATTTCAGTTGGCTATCCCACATGCCAATCATTCCTAGACACACCCTCACCCACACACCCATAAACCTCTTAACCCTTGGCATCTCTTAATCCAATCAAGTTGACAATTCCAACTGGCCTTTATAGCCAGCTAGAAGTTAAATCAAGTCAAGTCTCCTGAGAACTAAATCTTTATCATTTATCTTTGTGATGCCTGTCTTCAAAGTATGATCACATACATCTTCTAATTTGATCATCCTTGATGAAAGAGAGGTAGGTAGTTATTTTAAAGATGAGAAAAAGAGAATCAAATTGATGGGCCTCAGGCCAAATGGCTAATAAAGCAGTTACACTAGAACTTTGAATGACAAGACAATATGACTTGGGACACTGACACAATAATTCTGTTATTCTCAGGAATATTAGAACTTCTAAGCAGAATAACTTCTAAGAGAAATGCTTGTACATATTCTCCCAGAATCCTACCCCTAGAGATACTTATTACTCTCTGATAAATTTTATTAGCATACAGTAGTAAATAAGTAGCATAAAGTGGAACCCTTATATACATTTGTGCTACTCTGTTCTTGTCTAAGTTTCCACATGGTTCTGACAAATAACTCAATAGACAGATTCTCCAGAGAACTTTAAGCATTAGTTTTTAAAGAAGATTCAATCACACAAGATGCAGAAAAAACTCTTTAAGGGCTGGGGCTGTGGCTCAGTGGTAGAGCACTTGCCTAGCATGCGTGAGGTACTGGGTTCGATTCCCCTGCACCATAAAAAAATAATAATAATAAAAAATAAAGGTACTGTGTCCATCTACAACTAAATATATATATAAAGAGAGAGAAAAAAAAACTCTTTAAGATTTTTACCATTCACTATTTAATACTGTCCAAAGTACTGTTTTTAAACATTTATTTTTTAGAAATAGTTGGACATAATATCTTTATTCTATCTATTTATTTTTATTTGATTCTGAGGATTGAACCCTGGGCCTGGCACATGTTAGATGAGAATTCTACTGCTGAGCCACAATCCCAGCCCACTGTTCAAAGTATTAAAAGCAAAATTGTTCCTTAAAAAATAGAAAATCAATAATAATGAGTCTGACACAGAGAAGAAAATAATTCTAAAAACTCAGCCCAGTTTAGGAAATTTAGGAAAATACAAATTCCTAAATTTCAATTCCAGCTAGTATCATAAAATAGCTTAAAAATTCTAATGTGGGAAATAATCACCTCTTTGCCATAAAATACAGCTGCAGAAATGATTCTACAATTCTTCTCATTTAAGATATAATGGATGGGAAAGAACAAGAGACACAACATGGAACAGAGTTCAGCTTTTGCAGCTCATAAAGGACAATTTTGATTCAACCTCCCACAGCTTCGTTTGCAATGCTTTCAAGACATCTTCCATCTAAAGAGTTGAAAAAACAAACACAAGCATGAATATGGCTAAAATTATACATGGTTAAATGCAATTAAAATATATACTGTTAATGCAATTTTCAAGTTATTCATTATACAAGATAGATATTCAGTATTTAACAAAAACTATTTAGGGCCATAACTTTATTTAAATAAAATATAATTCAACTATTCACTCGCCACCATCTTGCCTGTTTGACCACAAGAAGACATTAACATTCAATATAAGTGTGTTTATACCAAGGAAACTGATTCCAATAAAATAGTGATTTGATTCAAAGCTATATTTCTAGTTTAATCATTTTAGAATATATTCTGACTTGATTTTGGCATAAAATGTCCCCACTAGTTTGTTGATAAAGTCTCAGCTTAATTTACAGATCAGTTCCTCCCAAAAGTCAACTCTAGTGACAACTGAAATACGCACTCTCTTGCCATAAAGGGCTAAGATCAAAACAGATGGCATTCTCAGTCTCACTACATAGAGAACTTTTTCACTGACAGGAAATTGTTTGTACAGACATAAAACATTCAGAATAAAATTACCTGTTTTAGAGACTTTTCTATTTCAACTCGGCTTTCAAGATTAAAAAGCTCTTTATCTTCTGGCATAATTTGTTTTTCAGAGGACCCTAAAGTATAACTGAAGTGTAACACAGTACAAAGTTAAAACATGTAAAAGAAACAAATGCTAAATTTATGTCAGTTAATACTAAAACTCTTTGCATTATATACCAAGTAAACAAACAAAACAGCTATTTTTGGTAAAAGCTTATCTAGGAAGCTGTACTACACAAAATCATGTCTTTCTGCACAGCACCTTTGTCCAGATACTTCTACATATTCACTGTCCACAAACATTTCATTACTGGAATAAACCTGCTCTATATTGAGTGGCAAAATGTTAAGAGTTCAAAACTCTAAAGACAAGTTTAAAGACCGTGAAGAAGATGGTGGTCCTGAAGAAGCCACTGCTTTCTGGTTTTACGTAAATTTTGGAAATGTATTTTCAAAGTTGACTTTTAATAAATAATAATTTGTGGGGTCAACTCACGCTTTCCAAAATTTGGGCAATTTCAACAATTATGCTCCAAGTCATGTGTGGCTCAACTCTCCAGGGTCGTGAGATGCTATGGCTTAGAAAAGTAATTATAGCAGAAAAAATGACCTGGTAACAGGTGGAAAAGAGGCCCAAGTGTTGGCAACCAAATAAATCTAGACATGGAAGGAAATTTGATTCTTTTGCATTTCTTTGGTAGAAGTCTTTTATTACATGTAACAATTTTGATGTTGCTTCTTTTGCCAAATAAGAAGTCTGCCCTTGGAAACCCTATAAATTATATTCCTGAAAAAACAGCACTGTGGGCAAAACTGCAGAAGGCAATTAACATGCTGTTTATAAAATCAAACAAAGAAAGGAGATGAGGTAGAAAAACTAAATGGCATTTAAGTAACTTCTAAAACCATAAATAAACATTACAGAAGGTATCTACTTCTCAAATAAAAACAGAATCCTTGGCATTCAAATCCTCTCCCCAAAGTAACTTGGATTCTAAATGCAACTGCTCAGGAAAAACAGCTTCAATATTATGATCTTCTGGGATAAAACCTCCTACACATTTTCTTTTACACAGATAATATCACTTTTGAAAGTTTTGTACCAACTCTGCTGGATTCAAATTTCACGTCTTTTATACCTGTACTTTCACAGACGTGATAAAATTCTCATGGATATTAAGGTAGCATTTGTCTGGGCCCACGTCTTCTATTCACATATTAAAACCAAAACAGGCATCTCGCCAGACACTCCTACAGGCTTTGTAGCAAGGAACAGAACTTGTTATATTATCCTTTTGTCTAAGGCCTATGAAAAGTTTGTGGATTATAAAATTTTGATCTAAAACTGTCTAGCTTCAAAAAAGGGGGTGGGGGAGTTCAAAATTGAAGTGATTTAACAAGGAGTAAATGGATTAGAAATTCATAAAAAGAATACTGTTCTAAATTTTTTAAAGAGAAAAATCTAAGAAATTCAACACAGGGGATGAAATGCCTCAAATAATGAAAGTATAGGCACTTTCCTTTCTTAATTTGTTTCTCTTTCCTAATATAATACAAGTTTTTTTAGGCATGCTTAAAAATCTCGAGGGCAACATCTTTACCAGGATGAGTGAAAATGCCCTGGGATCAAAAATTTACTTAACTTTATGCTTCCCATTTAAAAAGGCCAATAAATTGGAAGACCATTTAGATACCTGAAATTCTCTGATTCTGTCACTAAACCAGAACTGAATGCTTCCTAACCATTACTCTAAATAAATCTTAAGTCTTTTATTACATGAACAATGTTACTTTTCCTTGTGTATCTCAAAGAGAAGCAGACCATTCTTTACTATTGGAAATGTTAGGACTTTGTGCCTCTACCTTTCCAGAACACCAGAGACTTCTTTCCTAACCAATTTTGAAATTCCTGTTTTTTCACAAAGTCTAGGAAGCTAAAAACTGAGGGAGGGAAGGAATGGAAAACATACACTGATCTTCACAACTGCTTAAAAAAAAAATCTTACAAAGCTACATTCAATTTTTTAAAGTAATAATTTAATAATTAATAATAATTTAATGCTTGACTTTTCCAGTGCCAAAGCAGTCAGATCAAAGCAAAACAAAAATTAGTGATTTGACTGTCAGAAATTATTACTTGAAAATAAATTTTAACAAACAATGTTGATTCAGTTCTGATGTTTTCATATCATCTTCTCCGTAAACTTAACTGAGAAATCAGATGGAAACTTACCTTTCAATGGCTTCAACACTGAGGCAAAACAAGTCTCTCTTATAATCCAGATTCTTGGGAGTGCACCTGAACACATAGCCAAGATGGAGGGAGCAACCCGCACAGTACAGGGTCTCGAGAATGCTGTCATAAAGAAATGCCACCACTTTAGCAAAATAGCAACTCACTATGACAAAAACCCCATTGTTAAATCCATAAATGCTAAGTACTTAAGCTCTAAACTGTGCCATTCTGATCATATTGATTCATATACGTGGAAGGAAAAAATGATGGTAAGATGCTTATAAGACATATTACACTGTATTCATCTCCAGGCACACTGCCTTGCACACCTAATGACACCGACATACAAATGACAAGAAGAGAGGATACTGATACTTTCTAGAATGTAAACTCCTCTGTCCAGTATTTAGAAAATCAGATTGATTTTGGAAATATGACTAAAAGAATCTACATGTCCTTTTAATGTCACTATCTAACCAATAAGCCCACCGAGGGTCACTAGCGCTCTAGGCAAAGGTACTAGGCAATTTTTTCCTTTAATAAACCAGAAAATATACAGTTGTTGAGACTTTCAGGCCATCTGTATCTGTGGTAACTATCAACTTTGCCACTGGAACATGGGAGCAGCCAGAGACAAGACATAACTGAATAATCTGGTTCTAACTAAAATGTACTCGCAAAAAAGGGCCCGGTCCATGGGCGTAAGCTTGTCTAGCTTGCTCTAGTAGAGGTGTTTGCTTACTTAAAAAGACTGCCTAAAGTTAATGATGAATCATAGAAGACTGGTAAGTTGCAAATAATTTAAGTCTGGTAGAGATGCAAATGATTTCTGCTAGTAGAAAAGATAACTCCAAAGGTTGCTGCTGTGTTGCAGGACATTAACTAGATTTGACCTATATGGCAGTACCCTCCCTCTCATCCAGCTCTGCCATGTTCTGGTTCCCTCGTTAACTGGTTAAATAGATATTTTATTTGACATGTGTTCAATATAAGTTTGTTAGAATTAACTTTCTTAAAACATTACACTTTGACACAGTACTTTTCTGTCAACCACAGATATCCTACATGAGTGGTTCACAGGTATTTTGCTTAATGATCCACCATTACTTCTCCACATAACTGTTCCTTCATATGGACACTTCCCAACCCAGTTTCCACACATGTGAACGTACCCGGCTGCTACCATGCCAATTTCTGTCTTCTTTAAATGTGGCTTAAAATCCACTGTCTCATCAAAGCCTGTCACACTGGTCACTCCAAATTTATGATTCTATAAACAACTATACTAAAACTATAGTCCCAACACATAGATCTATTGATCACAGTCATGAAATATATATCCTAAAAGATTATTACTTCATAAGCATTTTAACTCTTGCTCAGTATGTGAGCCAGTCATCATCCCTAAATACCTGTTCCTTCTATCAGCAAAAGGAGCTTCTAAGAACCAGACACCATATTATAGACTGCATGAGTATTTACCTACAGATAACGGGAGATGTTTCTAATTACTGCAGCAACATATGGGAAAAAGATCAAAATGGATCACCACCTGATAAATTATGAGTTCTCACTGGTGACATAATTAGCTTAATAACATACCACTGATTCCATATTAAGCACCTAAGGGATTTTTTTAAAAAAGGTTTTATGTAAGAAATAAAAAAGCATCTACCTACAGTAAAATGGCAAATCTCATGCTACATACCAACCTTATAATAATTAAGAGGCCACCACTTAAAATTATCAAGCTTGTGAACTAACACCTAATGTAAGTGTCATCAGCCAAGAAAGAACACTCAGAGAAATCTTGGGGTTGACCTCAAAACACATTGATCGTTGGTTAAGACTGTTTTAACTTGAATTATCAAAAACAGTTTAGGCACCACCAGAGTACAAACAAACCCCTTCACATTTCAGTATGGTGTGAATATGGTTTGTTCAAATTCATGCTGAAATTTAATCCCCTTTTTGAGGTATTAAGAGGTTGCAAACCAAGACTTCCTATGGTGTTCAAAGCTGGGACCTTTGAGAGCTGATTAGGATTAGATGAGATCACTAGGAGTTAGTCCCCATGATTGAATCCTGGTGGCTGTATCATAAGGAGGACAAAGAGATCTACACATGCAAGCTCCCTGTCTCCTGCCATGTGGTGCTCTGTACCACCTGGCGACTCAGCTAATAAGAAAGCCATCACCAAATGTGGCCCCTAGATCTTGTATCTCCAGAACTACAAGCCAAAATAAACCTCTTTTGTTTATAAAGTACCTGCCTCCGTATTTTCACTATAGTAACAAAAACAGGCTAAACCACACCTGTAGAATAATCCCGGGGGACAATGAAGGCTGAGAGCCACTACCACTACAGCGTCATCCTGCAGGCACAGCTTTTGTCAGAATTCACCCTTATCGTTGAACAATAATGTTGAAAAAGCAGGGCAGATATCATGAGGTAATTTTAGATGAGGAATGAGTTAGGTTGAACGATCCTTAACAAAGGGCAGAGTCAGAAAGGACAGAGGAAACAGCACTGCCTCCTCCTAAAGCCCACAGTGCTTTCTACCATCAGCACCTTATTAGACAGGTAGGGTGGCTCCATCAAAAAATGCACACGCATGCCAAAGCAACACGGTTTTCCCAAAAGTGGAGGTACAGGGCCTCAGTGAAACTCAAGATAATTTAAGGCAGTGTGAACAATGGGTTTAGGTGATACAAGTAAACAACATTAAATAACTCTAGATCACAGAGTGAGAAAATCAATTCCTCTTCAATTATCTACCAATCCTCATTATCAAAGAGAAGAAAGTCTGTTTGACTAGATTGTTTTTAACACGTGTCTCATACTTGCCAATCTTTTTAACAGTAAGAGAACAGACCTCAGGAACTGGTCAGCAATGATATTTTGGCCAGACCTAAAAATGTTCATTTCATTGTCATTACCTTGAGATTTACTTTAAAGTTATGATCAATGATGAATTTATGGAAGTAATATAAAGATACCTTTAAAAAATAAATTTAAACTCCAGTTTTGAGTTAATTTAATGAAAATACACTAAGAATACAAGAGTGCAGCTGGTACACAGACATGGCAGAAAATGGAGAAGATGACATCAAATGACCAGACTTGGGAAGCAGAGACGACAGGACACTTCAGAGAGACCCACGCATCATCCAAGCCCTTTCAGTCAATCAGCCCCAGCCTTAGTGAAGTTCCAACCTCCCTGTCTTGTCCTCTTCATCCACAAAGTGAAAAATGATCTGAGTTTTCAAAGTCTTAATCACCTGCTTGCCAACAGCACTATTTGTCACATCTACATATTACCTATATCATTATCAATTTAACTTTCCTTTGAGTAAATTTTTAAAAATTAAAATACATTCCTTGTATAGGATACCCTAGCATTACCAAAAATGAAATCAGTATTTTTAGTAATTAAAATATAATTATCAAAACAAATTTTAAAAATTAAAAAAATATATATAATTATCAATGTATGCTTCTTTGTGTACTACCACTTAAAATTATTTCATATACCTCAATAAGATACATTTCTCATTTATATGAGACAGAGCTTCCCATTTAGCCACTTGCAGCTGATGGGTGGCAGATATGGCAAGATATCTGTCCCCTCAATCATTGCAGTAGCCACACAGGCCTGGGATTGCTGCAGCCCCAAGGGTTGGTTACTTATGGCCATGGGCAGCCTTAACTGTTTACCCCAATAAGCTGTATGTATGTGTACACACGTAGGTTTTCTTTTTCTTTTCTTTTCTTTTTTTTTTTTTTTTTTTTTTGGGGTGGTGCTGGGGATCAAACCCAGGGCCCTGTGCATGCAAGGCAAGCACTCTACCAACTGAGCTATATCCCCAGTCACACGTAGATTTTCTATATGTTCCCAGACATATAGGTAGCACCTGTCTTGACTTTGAGATTTTATGATAGAGATATTTTTATTCTATGTTTTATTTCAATTCTCTTCAGCATCAAGCCAAAAGACCCATAAAGGCAGTGTCAGAATATGCCCTCAGAAGTTCAGAAACATCCATTTCACTATCTAAAGGGGACCAACCACCATCACTGAAGAAATGATATCTCTGAATGACCAATATTATACTGATTCAATTACCATGAAAACAGTTTTAGCCTAAGTAATCACTTGGGATAATGGGATGATGGAAGAGTTTCATCTAAAAATAAGCATTTTCTCTAAATATCCACAAACATACAACCTTACTCACCAACCATTTTCATCTTTACGTTTGGAAAGCTTCTGCTCTTTATCCACAGAAACATTACAGGAAACACCTGGAAAGAGAGAAAGTAAAAACGCTTTATTAATGTATTTTGGGATTTTACAGAGGACTTCCAGAACAAAATAAGAGACCAAAGTCACACACACAAGGATGGTTCAAAACTCAATGTACAGGGGTCTTCAGGAAAAGATGGTGGGAGAGGAGTTATTTTATTCCCTTCCTTTGGAAATCATTGACAAAATAAATAAAGTCAAAGGGAGGGGTTTCAATCAGTAGTGGAACTTGGAACAATGAGAATCTAAAATCACAGACTACAAAGAGCATCTGCCAGACAGAGTAAAATTGGGAGCAAAACCAAAGAAGTTGCTAAAAGCCAACAGATACACCTCCAGACTGCAAATGCAGAGCTCATTTTTCTAAAAATAACTGAAAGGGTCCTTAGTATCCCAGCTAAGTATCTTTTACTTCAACCATGACTTGGACGAGGCTCACAGCTAGACCACAGGAGCGGCAGAGGACGTTCCCAGAGAATTGGAGAAAAGACATCAGATGTAAGAAGGACAAAAGAGATTCTTAATTCCACCTGCTTCTACAGTCTGCCATAAGTCAGTACATCCCACTTCCACCTGCCCAACTGCTCAATGCAGAAGCTGGGGAGTCATCCTTAGATGATGCAGTTCTGGGGAGTACCCCCAGCCCTGGTCCTTGGTTCTCCACCTCCTCATCCTGCTCCCCTGTATCCACTGCACTGCTGTCATGTCAGCCCTACTTCACAAACCTTGCTCCAGGCCCCAAACCACCAGCACCGCCTGCTGCACTAACAGTACAGACCTGCAGTAGTGCTGACTGACCTACCCCATTTCCACTCCTTTTCCTCCTTCAATGCTTTCTTTTTGGAAGACGGGGGAAGACAGCTTATGATGATTAAGCAAACTCAGGAAGGGAAGGCCTATGAGAAGTTTTCCTATAATAATAAAGCATTAGAGTTATCCAAGTGTTCTCACAGGGGTAGGGAGGTGGGTATAAGTCAAATTATCTAAAGCCAAGATATTTGTATATAGTTTTTAAAATTTAAAAACTACTGACATAAAAAACTAAATTATGAAAACAATAGCACTTTATATGTAAAATTAATATGGCAAAAAATAGAAAAGCTATAAAAACAAGACAAATAAAATGAAAGACTTAACATATTATTTCTTAAAAGGCATATATAAGATAAACCCATATACCAAAAGTAAGGGCTCCTACTCTATCAAAATTCAACCTGAATATATGCCGTTCTAATCATATAGTACTGGAAACAACCTAAACCTCTATCAATAGCCAGATTGGGCAGATCAACAGCACTCTCATTAGAGAAATCACTGAAGTTGCACTTGGGTCTTACTCAAAACATATAGCACACATTAACTCACTCACTTCTCACCAATACCCATGTGAAAATTACCCCAGTTGTATAGAAGAGGAAAGGAAACTGAGGCACAGAGAGGTTAACTAGCCTGCCCAAGGACACGCAGCTAATCAGCGGCAGACCAGAACCCAAGTACAGTCTAGAGCCTTCATCACCAAGCCATACAGCCCCTCAACAAGGATACACTAAGCAGCTGCTAAAACGAAGCGTATCATGTTCAAATAACATGGAAAAATATTCAGAATATACGTATGCGGCAAAAAAGAGAACTGTGCCCATTTAGTCTTAATGAGATGAATGTAATCTCAAGTCTTTTTGAAACTTTAACATTTGAATAAGTGCCTATGTGTATGGAGCGTATCTGGAAGTTTAAGTGAGAAATTAACAGCCCGCAGATTTCCGTGGGGAGCAATCCGTACTGGTCAGGCTACACCTCAAATGCTTGATCACTTGTTTCTGAATAATGCTCATCCAACCGCTGCTCTTCTGGGATGGGGACCTCATAAAAAGACCCATCACTCACGAACCCAACTGCTGGGGTTGAAGTGGCACCCCTTTCTCCCCAGAAAAGCCCCCTTCACCATGGCTGATTTTAGGACTGTCAGCAAGAGCCTCTGCAAAAGAGTCCAATGTAACTTCCTGTTTTCCTGTCGCCCTGTTTACTTGGCCACTGGCCGGGAAGATACCAGCACTCCAGGTGCTGGACACCCCCTTACTAGTTTTCACAAAGGTATCCAGTATAGTACCTTGTAGAAATGTGCAGACAAGGCCTCTGGCCTTGAGCTGGGCTTCACAGAGATGTCTACATTTTTAAGATAAGTTACAAATGGGCTCCATGGTAACAGCTGGCAGGGGGAGGAAGGAGAGGGGAGAAGAAGCTCTCCCCTTCTCAGGTGTTGTCCTTGAAGGGTTAACTTGCCCAGAACAGTGAAAGAAAGAGCTGCTTTTATGTGAACTCCTGCAGACTGTGAACTTCTGAGTCCCTTCCCTTACACGCTGGGTATAAAACTCTGAAATTCCCTGAAGTCGGGGTTCAGGGGATTAATTGATTACAGCAAAAGCTGTGCCCTCTGAACCTGGCTGCAGCCAAATGAAACTGTTTCCTGCTATCTTCGGTGCCTTGCCTCCTTTGTCCCTACAACAGAGTGAGCCTCCTCCTCCCCTTTTCCTGAGAAAGCTCAGGCGGGCCTCTCTGCTTTGCAAGCCTCCCTGCAGCGGAACCTCCCTCCCCCAGGACGCCCAGGTGTAGCACACCTGGGAACCAGGCCCCAGCCCCCCAGCGCGGCCCGCCCGCACTGACAGCGCAGCAGGATGCAGTTGGTGTCCTCCTGGCTGGTGACCCAGCTCAGCGAGTCGCCCAGCGGACGCCGGCAGCCGGAGCACAGGAACACCAGCGGGGGCTCCGCCGGGGCCGCCTCCTCGGGAAACCTGTCGGTGCTGGCCTCGGTCGCGTCTGTGCTCACGGAGTTCCACATGCTCGCCCACTTCTCCAGCAGCCGGTGGCGGCCCGAGTCCTCCGAGAGCCTCCTGCCCAACGGCGACGAGTCGTTCCTCTTATCCTTGAGGTCACCCGCGCAGCAAGTGGAGATACACCCTCTGTGACGACCCAATGACCAAGAGCCCGCCATAATCTACAAATAGCCCGCGCCCCAGAGCTCCAAGGGAAAAACGCGGCTGCGCCTGCGCGGGGCGGGGCAGGAAGGCGTCGCCGGGAGGGGCCGTGGCCCAGGGGCGGGGCCTAAGGAAGGCGACGCGAAGCCTCTAATGCGCATGCTCGCTGGCCGTCTGGGCCAGGCCGGCTAGTCCCTAGGCTTTGCGTTAGATCCTCCGTCCTAAAGAAATTAAAGCTGCTAAAATTGGCTGGATTATGAGCCTAAGAAGGGTAACTCACCCTTTACACGGAAAGGACAGCATCACTGAGAAAGCCACGGCGCCCCGTGAGGACATCAACCCCCCCCCGCCC